ACTGGGGAGCTCCCAAAGCCCCTAAGGGCAGTTCGGGGTTTCATCTAGTGCGGAAGGATGAAGTGGAGCCATTGTCCACTGGATCCCTCATATTGGGAACTGCTGCCACCTGCTGGATGATGCTGGTGTTGCCTTGTCAATGCCAGCCCAATCCAGCACATGTGTGCCCAGGTTGGGAGGAGGACAGTCACCAACTGTCCTCCTGAACCTCTCAGGCTGATGAAGAGACACTTGAAATTGATGAGCCAATCATGGGGAAATACAGGGGTTGTGGGGCTATAAGGATCTGGAGGAGGAAGTTTTTGTGGGATTCAGGAACAGAACTGTTCCTGGACAGAGTTGTAGGGGGTGCAGGGCAGGAAGCAGCAGCAGGAAGGACCCAGACTCCATGGCTGGGTTGTGTGTGTGTGTGTTTGACTGTCTCCCATCGTTGCTTTCTTGGATGTGGCAGGCTTATTTCCTTTCCTTCCTCTCCTGAGAAGTCTGGCCTGATCTATGGTTGTACAAAGCACTGACCATTATGTGAGGCACCTGATTTAACCCTCACTGTTACCCTGTGGGGACACTCTCCACTAATTCACTTTACAGAAGAGAATGATGAGGCTCAGCCAGGTCAACATAAACAAGTCATGAGGGTTGGGTGACACCATCTGTAAACTGCTCAGCCCTACAAATCCCTGTTGTTTTGACCACAAAGCCCAGCCCCCTGGCCAGCTAACAACTCTCCTACCCCAGCCCAGCCTGTTATCAGTCTGTAATCACCTTCCAGCTCAGCCTGCAGGCCTGCTCCTAGCCATCTGGGGGAGCAGGGGAGGAAGATGTGGGCATGTGCCCCATACGTGGGCAGCTGGGGAAGTTTGAGGTAGGACTTTGTTCTGGAATTCACTATATGCCTGAATAGGAAGTTATTTCCTCCTTTTCCCAATGAAAAGATTCAAAGAAAAAAATGTGGTGTCATCGGGCCTCCCTGGTGGTACAAGGGGTGAAGTCTCAGCACTATGAAGCTAACATTAGCCTCTGCAGCACAAGTTCGATCCCTGGCCAGGGAGCTAACCCACGTGGTGCAGCAGACCTCTCCTGACTCGCCCGCTGCTCCCCTCAGCAGTGTATTTCAGTAGATCTGCCTGTTCTGCTCCCCACTCTCTCTGGTGAATCCTCTCACCCACCACACCTCTGGCCTGTACCCCAGTTCTTGTGTGCATAAATAATCTTTTTTTAAAAATGTGTCCTCATCTTCTAAGTTTAAGGATGCATGAAAAAAATCAACTGCCTACATGTTATATCTCATTAAAATATTTAAAATCACATATTTGTAAGAATAATTTTGAAACAATTCTTTTCCACTCTCGTGGTTTGTGAGTTTACTCAAATCCTTCACTTGTATTTCTGCCTTGTCAGATGTCACATGTCACACTAGCCCCTCCTTTGCGTTCACTAATAGTTTTCTCAAACATGTCATCTTTGGTTTTGCTTGGAAATACAACACTTTTAGAATTCATGAATGCTTCTCTGGTGGGACATACTCTTCATAAGAATGGTTGTTTTTCATCTGAGTGGTGTGTTAGTATTTGTGATCTCCTAGGAGTTAAGCACAGAATTATATAAAACAGCAAGTCCCTGGTCCTTCCGCATTCTGTTTCCAGCTTAATTTTTCCCCATAGTAATTCTCACCATTGGATACACTCGCTCATTTATTGTCTGTCTCCCCTCACTAGAATGAGCTCCATGACATCAGGGAGTCTTGTCTGCCTATTTTATATCCATAACTTGGAAACATATTTGGAACACAGTAGGTGCTCAATAAATATTCATGGAATGGACGGATGACTGGAAAGCTTTTAGGAATGTTTCTTAGCCCAGTAAGAGCCAGGGCCGCACATGAAGTTGGCTTTGGAGTAGGAGCAGGAAGGCAGCCCTGCAGGAAGAAACCATGTACGGGGGTCATCAAAGTCAGGGGAACCCAGTTGTTTGGGGGGCTAGAGATATACGGGGGGTGGTAAACAAGTTACGAAATATATTGAAGACAACTGGGGGAAAGGCGTAAAAGAATGGAAAAGGTCCTTCCCAGGGGGAATCAAGGAGGCATTCTAAGTCCTCATACTAAAATTTAAGGTCTATGTAGAAACTTTTTTTCCCATACATGCAAACTATATTAGCTAGGGTTCTCCAGAGAACCAGAACCAGCAGAAGGGATTTAATATGAGGAATTGACTCACGTGATTATGGAAACTGAGACGTCCCATGATCTACTATCTGCAAGCTGGACACCAGGAAAGCCAGGGGTGTAGTTCTGGTTGACTTCTAAAGCCCTTCCGACCAGGAACCCCAATAGCGTAAGTGCCGATCGGAGGACAGAAGATGACTGATGTCCCAGCTCCTGCAGTCAAGAAGAGAGCCTTCAACTCTTTCTCTGTCTTCTTGCTCTGTTTGGGTCCTCAGTTGGTTGGATGGCATCCACTTGCATGGGAAGGGCCATCTGCTTTACTCAATCCACCAAGATAAATGTTGTTCTCTTCCCGAATTACCCTCACCGGCACACCCAGAAATAACGTCAATCAGATATCGGGCATTTTGTGGCCCAGCCAAGTTGACTATAAAAGAAGCCATCTCGAAGATAAAGGAATAAAGTAGATGTTCATGTGTATGCTTCTCTCTGTGTGTGTGTGATGAATGTGTGTATCCTGAGTGAAGTTTGGAGATTACCCCTAATTGCAATAACTATATCTAACAACTAGATTTTGGTTTCTAAATACTATTCCTCGCCAAGAAAAGCAAAAACCAAAATCCAGGTATTCTTACAGAAATAGGTAATTCTAAGACTAGGGCTGTGCAAACAAGATGAGCCTGGAATATCTTGTTGAATCAGGAAGAAGTGTTCAAAGAAAGACAGGCCACATTAAAATGGTAAGAGGGGCCTCCCTCGTGGCGCAGGGGTTGAAGTCTCAGTGCTATCAAGCTTTTGCCAGCCTCTGTGGCAGGAGTTTGAGTTCAATCCCCGATCCCAGCCTAAGAGCTGACCCACATGGCGCAGCAGAACTCTCCTGTCTTGCCTGCTGCTCCCCTCAGCAGTGTATTTCAGTAGATCCACCTGTTCTGCTCCCTTCTCTGCCTCTGGTGAATCCTCTCACCCCCCCATACCTCTGGTCTACACCTCAGTTCTTTTATGCATAAATAAATAAAATACATCTTAAAAGAAAATTAAAATGGTAAGAAGTAAGATAGGGGCATCCTGACTAAACCTGGGGCAATTTGCACATCAAAATAACAATGGGTGATAATCCAGTCAATAAAGTAGGAAACCATGAACCCATCTGAAACATACATATGTGAGTAAATTAATAGCAAAGAGAATGTTCTTCTTTACAATAGAATGCCAACTAGAAGGGATGAAACTGCGAACCATGGTAGTGATGGGGCAAGGAGCATCAATGGATGCCAAAACCCATGGATAAAGCAGTTTTATAGTCTCAAAATACCTTCCTTCCCTCATGATCAAGTGATTGACATTAATACCATCGTTCCCATTTATATGAGAAGATTACACGGCATTTCTCTATTTCTGCCCAAAATGCACACTGGTGGGCTAATCAGGACAGATTGGATAAACCCAAATTGAAGGACAGTCTACAAAATAACTTCCCTGTAATCTTCAACAACTTCAAGGTCATGCAACTCAAAGGAAGTCTGCAAATTATTCTAAATGGAGAGACCAGAGGAATGTGACAACTGGGTACTGTGTTTGACAACATATTCAATTTTTTTTAACCTTAAAAGGATTTTTTTTTTAAGACTCTGAAGAACAGTTTGAAATTGTTTCAAAACAAATAGTAAAAATAATGCCTGGTGAATGTTAGTCCTTCTCTTGGTGGATTCCTGCCAAACTGCAGGATTCATCTTGGGCAAGCTTCTGTGGAAGCCCTTTTAGCTGACTGGGTGTGAAGGGTGCCTTTGCGGCCCCACTGCCCCGGGACCCTGCCGGAGGTTTGTATCGGTGCGTCATCCCTGCAAGTCCTGGAGCTCCCTGAGAGCAGAGGTCCTGTCTGGATCTCCCAAAATACATGGAGTGAACAAAAAGTCATGTTTGGGGTACAGCTCAATCCCCCCTCTTCACCTGGGGTTCAGCCACAGAAACTGCCCAGTCAGGCTGTTGGAGGCACCCCTGGCTGAGGGAGGCCCAGGGCAACCAGGAGTCATCGCTGCAGAGGGTGTTCTGGGGGTGCTGGAGGAAGTATTACTGTTTAGGGCTAAGTTGAGGACCTAGTCCCCAAGGCATAGCCTTGCTAACAGGCTTCTCTAGAAGGAAAATTCCCTTTAACACTTGTAATGTCATTGGACACTCCCTGATCACTTTGAGGGAGGTGTGGGATGCCCAGACCATAACCTCCCCTGCCAAAGCGCGGCAGACTCACTCACATTCAAGGATCAGAATATTGGGGATAGTGGAAGAATAAAGAGTATTGCTTAGGAAGATGGACATTGACAATGAGTAATTTGTCGGTAAACTTTTCCCTTCTGTTTTCTGCTGTTTCATGTCTGGATGATGCCATTCAAGGTACTAACTCTACACAAGAGGAGGCTGAGGCGCCTGCATCTCTCAAGCATGGAAGCTGTTCTGATGGGCCCCTTCTCATCTCCTGATGAGTGGCGCGCCCCCTTGTGGTGAGGAACGTACAGGGACCGACAAGAAGGCTCTGAGGAAGGGCTGGCAGTTTCCATGGAGGGAGGCAGAAGAGCGGCCACCCACAGGGGGTGGGGCCTGGCAATGAGCGCCTTGCTGCGAAGAAGGGCAAAGTGCATGTCCTCCACCTGCCCCACCCTGCTGACAGGCCACCCACTCTGTCTGGGGCCCTTAAGGGGTAAGTGTCCTTCTGAACCAATCTCTTTCCTGGGGGATCAGGTTCTTCCTTGGGGAGTTCTTCCTTGGGGGGCCAAACACCTCAAAGTGTTTGAGCAGAGAGGTGCCCTCTTCTACTTGCTTTTATCCCAGGCAGGGACTACAACTGCCACCGCCTCATCACGGCACAGTTCATGAGACTGGAACTCTAGGGGACAGGTACAGAAAGTCTCAGACACTGCCCCTACTGATATCACTATTAGAGTCAAAGGGGTAGGGAGGGGAAGTCCAGGGTGGGGCACCTCCTCCAGGTGAGCCCTAGATGATTTCTGCTCACTCTTCTCTCTTCTTGTCACTACAACAGACCCCAGAATCCCAAGTGGCTGGAGCACTGGGGGACACCCGGAGAGAGCTCTCACTGGACCAAGTCCTCCAGGAACGAGATGAAGCCATTGCCAAGTGAGAGGCAGCTGCTTTAGGGGTGGGGTGGGAGGGCAGTGGTGGCCCACCCTCACGAGCCTGTCTTGCTGAGGGGGGAGGGGCCCCGGAAGGAGAGCCACACAAGCACTCACTGAAACAAGGCAGGGGCTTGGCAGCACTTGCCACCCCCAGGGCCCATGACCAGATTGCAGGGCCGGAGCCTCAGGCTGCTCTCCTGACCACCTGCAGGAAACGAGCAGTGGAGGCTGAGCTGGAGACCTGCAGAGCCAAGTTGCGAGCTGTGGAGGCCCAGCTGCTGGAGGTCTTGGAGGAGAAACTGAGACTGAGGCAGGAGGTGGAGGCCTGGGAGGTAGGGTGGGTATGCCCGCCAGGCTGGGAGGCACGGGCAATGGGTATAGGGTCAGCCCTGAACCTGCTCTCCTGCCCCCAGGAAGACATGCAGCAGCTGGTGAGGCGGCAGGTGGACAGTCAGCTTCAAAGAGAGTCCAGGAGCAGTATGAGAGCCCCCGTGAACCCCGGAGCTGCCAGGGACCCCTGGTATCGATTCTCCCAGGGTCACTGGCGGTGACAGAGCTTAGCCCAGGACCTTGGGAGCAGTGTCTTTATTCATTAAAGCAGGAGGTGTGACAACCTCTGCAGCCTTGTGCCCTCTCAGTGCCTGCCTGAGTGCTTCTGTGCAGAATTGTGGAGCAGGCCACAGAGCCTTGAAGCCTGGGGTTCTGGACCCCCTTCTTGCCAGCAACTCAGGCCAGGAAGCCTCGGATGGCAGCCATGAAGTCCTGCGGGCGGTCAGCATGGATCCAGTGGCCAGCGTCAGGCACTGTCTGCATCTGGGCCCGAGGGAAGAGCCGCCTAATCTCAGGGTGGTGGCAGGCACTGTCCACCGAAGAGAAGGTGCCGAGAAGGATGAAAGTGGGTAGACAGGGAGAGAACCAGCAGCGGAAGCAGAGTGGGAAAAGATGGAGAATCACGTGAACCCACATGCCACAGTGGTGTTTCCCAGATCTTGGGCACTCCCTGCCCACACCCAAGCCCTCCCCACGGCAGTCTCCCCAAGACTGCCCTTTCCGCCCGCCCGTGCAGCTTGGCTTACCGCACAAATTGAGAATTTCCGCCTAGGAGGAAGAGGGTTGGCCCAGGGTAGGATTCCTGTTGTGGTGGGAAGGCCATGATCTTGTCCATGTGCTGGGTCAAGGCATCCAAGTTCACCCTCCACACGAAGCGCCCATTCACCTCTACCAAGTTGGTGAGCAGGAACTGCCGCACAGATATGTCCTGTGGGGCAGATACGTCCAGCTGGGGGGGTTCCCTGTGAGGGTGGGGCCCTCACTCTTCCCTTAACAGGTCCTAGAGTGCAATACCATCCAGGGATCTGGGAGCATACCTCGATAACAGGCCTGAGCTGCTCATCGGCCAGTTTGCGGGCTGAGGAGCGGGGCACCTCATCTGGGATGTCTACGGCTCTCATAGCTGCCATGTAGTTTGGGAAGTCTGAGACGGATGTAGTCTCCACTGGACTGATGTCCACAGCAATCAGACGTTCCACCATCTCTGGCTATGGAAGAGAACTGGACTGGGGGCCAGCCTCAGGGCAGGCACGGTGGGTTTCAGGCATAGTTCCCAGATCTTGAACCTGGCCATCCACGGCTTGTGCTGAGCACTCAGGGTCTATACTGGATGAGGGGAAACTCTGGATAGGGGTGGCTCACCCTCTGTAGTGCTAGCAGCATGGCTGTCTTGCCTCCCATGCTGTGACCAACGAGGACAGAGGGTACCAGGCCGAGCTGGGGCAAGAGGTCTTGCAGATCCTGGCTCATGGCCTCATAGCTCATGTCTGGGCTGTGGGGGCTGTCACCATGGTTTCGAGCATCCACTGTCAGCACCTGGGGAGTGGAGGGTGGAGGAAGTGGGTAGCACTGACATCCATATTCAGGGCTTAGATAGCCTGGCAGGCTTGCAGGTACAGGTGGGTGGAGAGTTTGGGGCGAGATCCTGAAGTGTAAGAAGGGCCTGGGTGGTGAAAAGGCCCAGTTTTGAGATCTAGGAGGCCCAAATGAAGAACCCAGGTCCACTGTGCCAGAGAAGATAAGGCCTTAGGAGTATGCTTACATTTCTAAAGGTCTGGCCTGGCTGGGTGGCAACCCCAACTGGATAACAGGCCTGAGCTGCTCTAACATTTGGAGCACAGAATATCTAACAGCTGGAACACAGAAAGATGGGTCCCTGTAAGAGGTAGCAAGCCCTCTGTCATCTCTGGTGAACAAACTGGGGCTGTTCGTGGGAGGGTGAGTGTTCAGGAACAGGACAGCCACGCTTAGCTTAATGTGGAGCACGCAAATGGAGATCTTTAACACGGATGACGGGTGGAAACATGCGTAAATGTTAGTCTGGGGGCCCCCTTGCTGCTCAGAGACACCAGGCTCTCCTCAAGGGGGACCCAGAAGTGGGAGCGGGGAAGCGGGCCCCGCCGAGCCTCCTCCTCCGCGCCCGCCCAGAGGCCGCCTCCCGCCGGACCCGCCTCTCCCGGAAGCTCACTCTCCGGCCTGTCTGCTGGGCGAGCGCCTTGGCGATGGAGTTAAAGTTGGTTTTGCTGCCGAAGAGCCCGTGCAGAAAGACGAGGGCAGGGGAGGCCGTCTCCCCGTCCAGAAGCCTGTAGGAGAGCGGCACCGGCCTGGCGGGAGCAACGGGATGGGGAAGGGTCTGAGCCACGGCAGGGAACGGGCTGGGGGCGTGGCCGGGGGCGGGGCCGAGCGGAGGGGCGGGGCCGCCGACGCCGGGCCTGAGCTGGTGGGGGACGAGCGAAGGACGGCTTCCCACGGGGCGCCCTTGACTGACCTCAGCTGTGCGCCGCCTCGGCCGCTGCTGCTGCGTGCGACGGGCACCTTGGCGAGGCTGGGGCTGGAGGACCCGAGCCCCCTGTGGGGGAGCCTCCAGGAGCGGGCCCCGCGGAGCATGCCCGCGAGTCGCTACCCCACGCGGGCCTCGTCTGTCCCCTCGCTCCGCCTCCCGCCTTCGGTAGAGCCCCGCCTAGTTCCGACTGGGGCTCCGCCCTCTCCCCGCCCCTACCGCGGCACTTCCGCCTTCGGTCTCAGGCCCTTACGTAATGCCCGAGACCGGTCCGTTCCCAGGCGCGCCCCTTACGCCATTACGTAATCTCTGCAGCACCGCGGCGCGGGCGAGGCCAGCTCCCCGCCAGCCCCGGGGCGGAGCTTCCCACGTCCATGTCCCGTACCCGGCAAAGCCTTGCCCCGCCCCTTCCGGCGCTGAATCCTGGCGGGGAGTTGGGGACCTATGGCTTGGGACCCCGGTCCACTAGGGTTGGCCTAGGTTTTGGGGCGCGAGTCCTGCGGAGCCGTAGCGCAGATTCTTGGCAGCCTAGGAGGCCCTGCTGTGGCCCACGCCCGGCCACACACCTGGCCTGCTCCTCTGCGCCTCAAGCACTGCTTTGGGTGGGTGCCACTTTCCGTGCTGCGCGCGGGCGGGGAAGAGTGGCGCCAGGAGTGGCTCCAGTTGTTGGGGAGCCGGCTTGGAGGCACCGCGCTCCACACCCGTGGGCCCAGGCAGACCAAACGAAGCACCTCTGACGCACCCTGAAGTTGTCAGCTCTAGGAATAGAGCTAGGAGGGACTCTAGAGGTCATCTCCAGCCGCCCCCAGCCCCCACCATTTTACGGGTGGGAAAACTGAGGCAAATCATTTCTACAAGAGGCAGAACCGGAACCATTGTCTGATCTGCCATTCGTGTTGGGAGTCAAGGTGAATCAAACCCAGCTGCGTGTTGATACCAATGGGGGCATTTTGGGAGTGAGCTGAAATGGCTCCTACCCCCCACCCCCATTAACCTTTGGAGAAAATAAACTATCCTCCCACCTCCAGAATCAGCATAGCCCACAGGGAAATCCCCTTCCTTTGAACCCTGACCTGCAGCCGTCTTCTCCCCCCAAGTCTGATGGTGGTGGCATTCTCGGGGCTCAGCTGGCTTCTACTGCAGTCCATCCTTCAGCAGGTGCAAAAGTAGCTGCTCTTTCTATAATATTCCCCTGCTCAGAAACTTTTAGGGATTCCCCAGTGCGAAAGTAGAGAGCTGAAATAGCACTTCAAGCCAGTACTCTCCAGTCTGATCTCACCTACCTTTCCACCCATGCTCCCCATTCTCTTCTTCCCCAACCAGGAACTTGGAGGATCACACTGCACACCTCCCTTTACGTCTTTCCCCCCTCCACTCCCCTGCTGTGATGTTGGGTCCACCTTCCAGGTATCTAGTTACCTGAACATAATCGCCACCTCTTCTTTAAACCTTACCAGATTTCCCCAGTTGAAACCAATTTCTTTTACCCCATATTCTCAAAGCAGGTGTGAGAGTCTACAGTATAGTGTTAAAGAACTGGCTTGCTCATGCCACAGTAGGCTGAGGAATCCTGGAGGGCAGACACCATGTTCATCTGGTGCAAAGTACAATAGTAATTTTAGTGAATGATCATGGATAAATCCAGGGCTCTAGCTGAGACTTAGGTGAAGGTTCAACTTGTGGCTGGGTCAGTGCCCTCTCCTGGAGATGCCATCTGGATCTGCCAGGTCATATTGGCCTCTTCCTAACCAACTTAGGGCAGGCCTGATGGAGTCAGGACTAGTAAGATGATTTCTCACTCCAGCACCTAATAAACACCTGGCCTTTTTATTAGGCTCCCATCTTGAGTCAATCTGGGGACTGGAAACTGTTTTGCTCTAGTATGAGCAGAGCTCTAAGGTCACTGGGGACTCTAAACACACCAGGTGGTATGATCATTTCTTGCCAGGATAGTCATTAAGGGCTTAATGAGGACATCTGAGCTCTGGGTAGGGGTCAGTCCCAGGTCTGGAAGGGGTCCTTGGAGGAGACAATCAAGCAGGGTGTTTTTTCTAGACTTGGTGGCTGAAGGGAAAGGGGGTTGACTAATGTTAGTGATTCAGAAGGCTAGTATTTTAAAAAAATGGTTTCAAAAATGGTTCCCTCCCCCGCCCCACAACAGGAGCCTACAGTTTAGCCCATTACCTGAACCTGACATAACTCTTGACCACCTGCCTGGGAACCAGAGCCCTAGGGGCCTAAGCAGACTTGAGACTTCCTGAATCCTGGGCCTCAGCCCATGTCCTGGATGGTTAGGGCCAGCCCGCAAGCAGAAAAACCAGTCAGTTTGGGGTTTCCATTTGAACATTCCAGAGAAAGTGGTGGGGCTAGGAGAGGGGTTGTTTCTGCCTGGAAAGGACTCTGGTAAAAGTGGGTTGGGGAGTGGACAACTTTGGGGGCTGCCCACCCCTCCCTGACTTGCTAGAACTGAGCTGGTAGACTTGCTGTGGGTTGAAGAGAGTGTCCCTCTTGAGGTGTGTTGCGGTGTTGGAGGGGAGGCCTTCTGGACCCCCTGATATGCAAAGATGGATACGGAGGGAGAAACAGTGCAGAATGAGAACTGGCTGCTTGTTTCCATGTTCCCAGCAGTCTGGCATTCCTGAGAAGAGGAAGGTATTTTATCATCCTCATTTTACTGCTGAGAAAATGGAGAGCGAGAAGTAAGGCGAGGCAGCTCCAAATCACTCAGCCAGTTCCTTCCCGCCCTGTGGTGACTCTTAGTGCAGTGTTCTGTGTTTTGTCACTGCCCTCCTGGCCAGGGACCCAGGGGTGAAGGGGTGTGGCTGCGGTGGCAGGGACTCTGTGCCCCGGTGGCGGTGGCATTGAAAGGGTTAAGGCAGGGAGGAGGCGGGTGTCCGTAACTGCACCTGGCTCAGTATCGGTCACGTGGCTAGGGTTTCACCTGCCCCGCTGAGCAGGGACAATCCGGCTGCTTGTTCCTCAGTTGGTCGCCATGGTGACAGGAGTGTGCCATGGGAGGTCACCAGGGCAAATTCCTGCCAACCTGCTGGGTGGGGCAAGAGTGTCAGTAGTGTGGGGGCCTGACCAGGGCCCCAGGAAGACCCCGCCTGGGATTTCTCTATGAGTTCCCTCCCAGCCTCCTCCCATCCTGTCCCTCTGCCTGCCCCCTACCCCAGCCCCGCTTCTCCTCAGATTTTAAACCTGAGTTTCTGAAGCTGCCAGGACTCTCATATACATTGTTTTGTTTAATCCGCACAGCAGCCTTTCCCACGTGGGCATGGCAACCCACTCTGGGCGTCCCCCAGACTTACTGAGCACTCAGAACATTTACTCCTTCCTTCTTTCAACAATCAACAGACCCTTAGAACCTCTTCGACCTGTTTCTAGACACAGCTTTAAAACAAAACAACAAACTCATAAACTACACAACAGTGGGTAGTGTGGAGTATTTATTTTCTTGAGGTCGGGGAGGCCCCTGGGAGCATTGATAGAGGTGGGGATTGGGAGTGATCACCCTGGGGCCCTCTCTGCCACTTCCTGGCCTCACCTGCTGTTCCTCCCCTCCAAGCTTCCACTAGGCACAAAGATCCTTCATCTCCTGCTCATATCTACTCACTCCTCTGTTCTAGAATCTCCGAGAGGTGCTGCTAACAGCACTGCTAATCAGCTTGTTTCTACTTCCAGGCATAGTGTCAGGTGTACTCACTGTCCCTGCAACTGCCATACCTTCATGCACATGGATCTTAAAGCAGGCGGGTGAAGACACCTTCCCTTTGGGAGTGGAGGTGAAGGGACTCCATGTACTTTGAAACCCAGCAATATCTGTTTCCCCTGAGAAACACCAGCCTGTAGGAAACATTGAGCACCTACTATGTGCTAGGCACTGGGGATGCAAGGGTGAGCCCAGATGGACTCACAGGCCTGATAGTCTGGTGGGGAAGTTAACCTGGCAAGTATGCAAAGGAAAGTGAGAGCATACACCAGGTGGATCTGACTTGCCCTGGAGTCAGGTGGGTGATGCTTGAATGGACACCTGAAGGATGCGGAGGAGTTGATCAGGTGAAGGGGTTTCGGTGGAGGAGATTATTCTAGAAGTAGGAACACTATGTGCCGTGGTGAAACCCTCTTATCTCCCAAGGCAGGATCTCAGGAGTCATTGATAATGCCTCCTCCTTCATTCCATTCCCCACCCCATTGGATCCATCACTTAGTTCTGTTGATTTTTATCTTGCAAATAACTCTGATATTTGCAGAAACCATGCATTTCTCTCCATCTCTGCAGCCCCACCTCTCCCATTCATTGCTGCCTTCTCTCTGGGTTTGTCCATTTTTGGGCTCTCTAGTCATCTCAGCGTGATCTTTTCCAAACATTCCATGTGTTTTGATGTTAATCTAGTTTGTTCCTGCCTGTATTTTCCTATGCTCTGGGTTTTGTGCTCATCGCCCCTGGGAATGCATGCTGCAGACCTCAGCGTAGAAAAGCTGGCTTGTGTGTTTCAAAAGCTGAAAAAAAAAAAAAAAAAAAAAAAAGCTGAAACCCCAAGGGGTAGGGGATGCCTCAGTAGAGCAAGTGTCTTGGCCAAGAACTACAGGAGAGTCTGCCACCTGCTTTTGACAAGGTCCCCAGAGAGGCAGATGGTCTGCTAGGCAGACAGGATCACAGGCAGCTTGTAAAGTCTTACCAGGTTCTCGGCCCAAAGCAGACACAGTGCAAGTGGCAAGACTGAGGGGCCATTGAGACAGGATGATAGTCTCTGCAGTGATCACTGTTGCCTCAAGGCTTTTGACTGCTTCTTCCTCCTAACCTTCTCCCTTGTCCACTTAGCCCAAAAGCAAACATGGCCCTGCTGAATATCCTGGAATTGGGGCTCAACCTCAGGAAGGTTGTACCTCAACTTGTTTTTTTTTTAAGGTTTATTTATACAAGAACTGGGGTACAGGCCAGAGGCGCGGGAGGGTGAGAGAATTCACCAGAGACAAAGTGGGGAGCAGAACAGGCAGACCGACCAAAGACACTGCTGAGGGGAGCAGTGGGTGAGACAGGAGAGGTCTGCCCAGCCATGTGGGATTCTCCCTGGCCGGCCAGGAATCAACCCTGTGCTGCAGAGGCTGCGGACAGCTTC